GCAGACATTGCATGACAAAAATATTGCAATAACGTACTGTTAAACTACTGACTTGAGGCACTCAGTCTCTCTCCTCACTTTATATAGGTCTAGCTGGATTAGAATTTAATATGTAGTACTAAAGAGTTCTGTCAGTCATTCTCCAGTTCATAGGCGCTGACTCTGTGGGTGCTCTGGGGCTCAAGCACCCACCAAAACCCCCCTCCCCCCCAGTGTTCAGCACCCACGAGCCATGGCTGTTTTGGTTTTATGAGATACATGTTAGATCTCTGTTAAAAACTTTGCCCTGAAACTGAGCTTTTTACAAGCTGGTACCAGTAGGTGGAAGAAGCACGTTATGTCGCTGCACAGGAAGGCGGAATTAGACTAATGCACAGTGATTCATGATGAGGTAGTAGACATGAGTAGCGCCAAAGCACCCACTGACAAAAACCAAAGTCGGTGCTCCAGTTCCTCAAAATACTCAGTCCTCCTGAGACTGAACTAGTTCTACAAATTCATCATCTTTTTTTCAGTGCCAAACATGTAAACATTATAAAGGTGCATACAGGCCTGCATCCAAGATCAAGACACACTTAGGTTTGATGACCTACAGGCATATATTAAAAGCATTCCTAGATCTGAAGATATTGTATAGTATTAGCAGATAAGTAAGACAGCGTGGAAGAGAAAGTTACAAAGCGGTGAAGTGACTTGCCTAAGCTCATTGGCAGAGCTGGGGATAGAGTACATGGGTGAAATCATGGCTTAATTGAAAACAGTGGCAAACCTATTTACTTCAGTGGGGCCAGGATTTCACTGTGGCATCTAGTGGCCTACATATTAGACCATGCTACCCAAAAAGTCCACCTCACAACTATGAAGACAAAGCCCTTAACCCAAGGAGTTTATCAACTTAATTTCAGCATAATACAAGAAAGGAACTAACAGCACAGTAGGTCAGGTTTGGGAATGAGGCGCTGATATATTGCCGCAAAAGCTCTGGAGTCTGCTTCTCTCAGCAGATATATAATTTGGAAAATATGCGTCTAAAGGATGAGACATGGACTTGGAAGACCCAAGTGCTATTCCCAGTTCTGCCACGCAGCTACTGATTGACTTGGACAAGTTTCAACATACTTCCCCTTCATTCTTGCTTGTTTAGATAATAAGTATCTGCACAGTAGGTCTCCATTAGTAACTGTGCCCTTTATATTCCAATACAAATAACAAATAAGGACACAAGTTTTTGAAGAAAAATATTCTGCAGCCTATTTTCCAAAACCCTGAACTCCCATTTCCTGGACACCTAGCTAACTTCTATTCACCTCAGTTATACCATAATATCTACGACCATTTTGAAGAATGAGTAGGATTAGTAATGCCATTTTGGGGCTGCCAAGCTTAACTAACTCCTAGAGCAAGAATGGTAGACAACAGCCTCCTGCTGCAAAGGAGGTGTCCAGCTGCACATGCTAAGTGGCATCATCCATACTTGGTAATATCAAGGGTTTTACTGAGGAACATTTGTTCATGTATCATAGAATCATAGAGAAGTAGGACTGGAAGGGACCTCCAGAGGTCATCTAATCAAACTCCCTGCCTGAGGTAGCATCATCCCTGTTCAAATCATCCCATACAAATCATAACTAAACTCTACACAAGATTATCATCAACCCTAACACAACATAGACCTAACACCCTAAACTGCCACAGGTAAAGCAAGGCAGTTAACATTTTGCTTCTATGAAATGTTGTCAAAATATGCTCAAGAGATCTTGGGTAGATCTATGTGGCTTGGATGAGTGAGGCTTCCAGCCTCTAGATGGCTATCTGTATATTCTGGAAACATTAACATTTGTACAGAGCACTTTATGAACACTCAGCACTTGTCACAGGAACCTGGGAAAGCAGGCATTTTTACCTCCCTTTTAAAGTTAGGAGAAGTAATGGCCTGAGAGCCCATGAGCTACTGAACACCTGCAAACTCAGTGGAAGACAACAGGAGTGATGAGAACTCAGAATCCTTCCGGATGTACCAGGAGGTTAAATGAGGAGGCAGAGCAGATTTGCCCCTTATAGACTAACCAAACTCTACTTATCACAAAGTTTCACAGGCTGAAGCTCACTTCCTCAGATGTTATGAAAAGACAAGCACAAAACAAGTGTATAAGGAAGTTAAATGAACCAAAGCCATGAATGGGTCTCTTGTCAGAGCCCAGATTAAAACAGGCCATTAGCCCTAAGGATGGTCCCTTTAAGATATGCTAATCCTTATGTGCTGACAAAGGTAGTTAGCTGGCCTAGTCTGAAGTCACCAGATGTATCTATATAAGCTGTTCTGTAGAAGGACACAATGGATGATCAATGGAAGAGCTGGTTGTGAGGGAATTGGCAGCGCTAGCAAGGCTGGTGTTTTCTCTTTAAGCATCAACCATGAATCCGTAGACTTGTGGGCATCCTGTTGCCATGTAATTGTAGGGGGAAGAGTTTTGATCCAGTATGTAAATAATTAAAGTTGATATTGTTAAGCCTGTGCAGTAACTGTTGCCATCTGCAGGTTCCAGAAGCTGATCTTTTGCACTGCAGTCCCAGCTACCAGTTGGGCATGCACAGCTGATATGATGCATTTGGTGGGACCCTGAAGTGTATGTTCTGGGGTAAAGGTGAGAGATTGCTGTGATTGACAGGTGAATGTATCTAGTGGAAGAGTGAGTTGAGTAAGAAGATTGGATGCTGTTTGATTGGCATTGACAGACCCTTTATCTCAGCTGACTGGTTGGTGAAAATGGAGTGATTGAGGCCTTTAAAATCTGTAGCTTGGAGCTGGTGTGTGTGTGGGAGTTGGTTTGTTAAGATCTGTTCAGATTGGGTGTGTTTGTTCATTAGTGGGTGAGATTTGTGTTTGGCTATGCTGCTGCCTCAGTGAGACTGGCTCAGAAGCCCAATCCCTTGAGTGACTTCCTGCCATCTATAATCAACTTGGACTTTCAGAGCACCTTTTGGATTTGTCATCAGATTGTCCTGCTAACCTATTTGCCACCATTGCATTTGCTGTTACTGGATTGCTGCTCCTACAATCATTTGTTCCTACTTTGGTAAAGTATATTGCTTGTTTGTTGTTGGTTTGTTCTCACCTAGGTTTCATTAATATCCCCCTCATCCCTTTGTTATCCATTTTGCTAATAAATCCTTTCTGTGTTTATACCCGTTAACACTGCTTCCTGGTTATTCCATTATAAACTCAAGTCAGACTAGGAATGCCACTCAACAGCGTCGAAGGTGCTGCTCTGGTAAGTGGCCTGATTCAACCTCCCAGAGAAACCATGCTTATGTGAGGTCATGTTTTGAGGTTTACCTGCCTTAAAATGTGTTCTTGCAATGTTATGACTATGCCAGCCTCAAAGCCCCAGAAACTGGCACCAGAAACAGGGGGGAGTTCCCACTTTTTATACAGAAAAGTCATAGGGTTTAGTGTGACAAGCCAATGGGTCAAAGGGAGAGAACAGGTAAAAAGTTAACATCAACAGCATCTCCATCTTGAATAGAGACCATAAGGGGACCTGCAATTACTCTTTGTTCCAATATTGTGACACCAACAATCACCATCTCTTCCTTTGGACTGCTGTGTCTGGTAGGAGTGGGTGGGACCCTTCCTGAGTGGGACCCTTCCCATTGCACACCTCAGTTCCCCTGCCCTGAATGCCGCCTTCTCTTTGGGCATTCCCCTCCAGAAGTGATCACGGCTGCCACAGTGCAAGCATCCATCACCATTCTCTCGATGAAACCGCTGCCACTGTGGTCCAGGAAGATCTTCCCTTGCATGCCTGCTCTGGGACTGGGTTTCCATAACTTTCTTGAGCTGGTCCAGTTTACCTCAGAGTTCTTTCAATGGCTCTGTCACTGTCTGCAAGGCTGATGACTCCTGGGCTGAGGTGTGTGCTCTTGACTTCGCCTCCAAGGCCCTTGCCATAGTGCTCTGTATATTCAGAACCTCCAATTTTCTCACTACTTCTATTTCAGTGGCTAGCTTTATGGCATCATCCAGGCTATTGGGCTTCCCCAGCCAAAGCTGCACCATCTGCTCCCCACTGATGGCATTTCTGATGAACTGGTCTTGAGCCACCAGGTCCTGCATCTCTGAGCTGACTTGTGGGAAGGCCTTTACAGCTAACTGTCTTAGGGCAATGCCAAACTCTTGCAGTGACTCCGCTGAAGTCTTCTTACGATTAAAGAAAATGGTATGGGTCCAATCAGGTGCTAAAACATAACAGCAGGCCCCTGTAAGATCCCTATAATCCTGTTTGGCTTCATTGCTGAGCCCCACAGTAAGCCTTCCAGGTACTCATCTTCCCTGCTCAAATGTCCACACAACAAACAAGATCTATGCACTCACTGCAGCAGCCTGCCCTGCACCTGATGGCCTGCAACCACCAATTACTGTTTGCCTCACTTGTGTGATAGCCCCCCTGCTCCCTTTAGATCCCACTATTCCCACCAATTTGTGCCAACCCTGCAGCCCCAGCAACCAGCACCAGAAATAAGGGGGAGTTCCTACTTTTTAGACAGTAGACCATAAGAGGCAGGGTCGCAGGCCAGCCAGCCAAAGGGAGGGAATAGGTAAGAGATAAAAGGAGGATCAGTAAGGTGGTAACATATACTTAGTACCTTAAATTTCCCCCACAAAGGTGTCCCCAATCACTCCTTTAGTCCCAGAGTGCTCAAACAGCAGCAGCCCACAACTCCCCCCTGCAAGTCTGAGTCCAGCTCCTTCAGTCCAACTCCTCTAGCCCCCTCAGTCCTGGCTGGCCAAGCCAGGGGGATCCCAAGCCGCACTGTGCACTCCTTCTAGGCAGGGTCTCCCCGATAGGGGTTGCAAACTCGGTAACTTCTCCTGGCTTCGGTGGCACACGCCCCTCCAGCCTGCCCGCCTCCCCTCTGCTTCATGCACAGGGCTCTGGGCAATCATAAAGCGATCCCAAGGATTCGGATTAGAAGAGCTACCTGCTCAGCCCTTACAGCCACAAGGTGCAGTGGGCTCAGCACTACCGCAAACTCCGCCCAGCACATGAAGCCTCCTGGGTCGCCCCCTCCAAGCCATCCCTACGACAATGCACGGATGCCTGCTACACCCTGCCCCGGCGGGTTCTGGGAGTCGTAGTCCCCATTCGCAGAGTCCTCCCAGCTATGTAGGCTGCCCATTGGTCTCGTCAGCTGTCACTCACCGCTTGGCACCAATCCAATCAAAGGAGCCAGAGAGCGAAGGGGCAGAGCCAGGAACTCCGCCAATCGAAGAGCAGACTCAGGAAGTGAGCCAAGAAATTAGAAAAGGCATTTCCTTTTGCTCGTACCCAATGAAAGGGCAGGGGTTTCCGATCGACGGGGGTGAGAACCAATCGAACTGCAACCCTTAGATGCAAGGCTGAGGTGGAGGGCAGGGCCCCGGGTGCCGAGGAGCAGTGGATTGCTTAGAGTTGCTGCGCTGGCCCAGGGAGGACCGGGGTTGCTGCCCTTCAGCCAGGCGTTGATCTGGGGACTGCTTCCCTCCCCACCAGCCTTCCCAGGGCCCAAGGGCTGCCGGTCAATGCCGTCCCTGGGGCCAGGTGCTGGGGCGGGTCGTCCTGGGGCCGCTGACCGGTCTGGTTTCACCCTGATGTCATCATCCCCGTAACCCAGGCCGCTGCTACCTCACATAGTAGCAGCAGCAGACTTTCTTCTCATCTGATTGGTTCCCTCCTCCGTCCATCGGGAAAATCTGCCCTCTTATTGGCTAGCTGCCCAAAAGGAAGCGCCCATTTTTTTTTTTCTTGCCCACTACGTAAGTCTGCCCTCTAATTGGCGGAGCTCCGGGGCCCGCCCGTTTTTCGCTGGCTCTTTGAATGTGATTGGCTTGGAGCCTTGTTTATCGTTACCTTGGCCTCTAACCATTGGCCGCCACCTCGCGGACACGTCGAGCGGGCTCTCCGAGTTGGAGCGGCCAAAGACTGGGGGGCGTGGCTCGGAGTGGGCGTGCCTTATGAATATAAAT